AGTTAAAGGTTTGAGACTGGCTTCAGAAAAAAAATCCAAAATGCAGCTTTCTATTCAAAATTATGAACAGCAATATATTCACAAGACAGCAGTTTCAACATCACCTTTGTTTTCTTCCACTTCCCTTTTTTGAGAAACGATTACTATATACTTCAACTCTGTAAATCCAAATTTAGATTTATTTTTTTTAACCTTGCCTTTATTACTTTTTATAAATAATTCAAGATGACAGACATACTTAATACTCCTTTTTCCTCCTATTTTCCCCACAACAACAACCCTGTGAAGTGTCTTAAGCCAAGAGACAGTGACTGATCAAAAGTTACCCAACCAACTTTCATGCCTAAACTTGGATTAGAACTCATAATCTCCTGTTTTCTAGCCTGGTTTCCTAACCGCTAGACCAGGGATAGGCAACCTTGGCTCTTTTATGACTCATGGACTTCAACTCCCAGAATTCCTGAGCCAGCCATGCTGAGGGGAAAGGGAGATGTTTCCATGCTGAGCTATGCTGGCTCAAGAATTCTGGGAGTTGAAGTCCACGAGTCATAAAAGAGCCAAGGTTGCCTACCCCTGCGCTAGACCAAACTGCCTAAATTTGTTCTAACTACTTCACCAAGCTACACCGAAAGACTACTGGGACCCTGTTTCAAAACAAGACTGAGATTTGAACCTCTGACAAATTTGAACTGTATTTTCATTTATTTACAAGTGAGTCTGCAGGTCTTTCCCAAATGGCTAGGAGCAACTTAGAAACATTGACTTGCTTGGCCTTTACCGAGAGTTATGCAGTGTGAGGAGCCTGGCTGCTACACAATGGCAGTGGGCTTGTTAGGGTTGAGGTTCAAACTGCTCCCTTTGGCTGCTGCCTGATCTCCATGTATATGAATATTCAAACACACGTTACATGTGAGCAGAGGAGCAGCCAACTGAGTGGGTGTCATGGCACCCAGTTCTCTCCTACTCTGATTGTCCACTGTGCAAACTGGTGAGGAGGCAGGGTACTTATGCTTTGCAACTGGTGCTGTCATTACGGTGCGTGTGCACTCTCTTGGCAGGCACGGCAAGGAGCTTACAGGTAATCCTCAAGTCACGACTGTAATGGAGCCTGCTATCATGATCATAAATTGTAACAGTCAGTTTTACGTTTTTGTAGCAGTTGTTAACAAACACCATAGTTCTTCAGTGAGTCCACTGTTCACTATGGTGTGGCTGTCAGCAAAAACTTTATAAAATGTGGTCGCATGATGGTGGGATGCTGCAAACAGGTTTAAATGCAGCCGGGTTGCCGAGGGCCCGAAGTGCAGTCATATGAACGTGGGGGGAAGGGGCAACTGTTAGAACTTCAGATCCAGTCATACCCCCTTTTTCAGGCAGGCTGTAACTTCAAATGGTCATAAGTCAAGGACTGCCTGTAATTCATTCTTTATGAGTACTACTGCCTTTTTATTTTATTTCACCAAAGTAACAGATGGCAACAACACCAAACTATAAAATCAGTAAAATGAAGGATTATAATGAATCGTATAAATTAATGAGGAATACTAGGAAAGTATAAGACAAGGCATAGGAGAAACTGGCATGCATAAGGACACATTGACAAGAAACTGTAGTAGCCTTCATAGAAGACTGATCCTTGGATAAAGAGCCATGAAAGGCCTTAGAAGCCAATACATTTATTGATCCAGAGTTTAGTAAGCAAGCGCATTTGACCCCAAATTCTGACATAAATGTCTCAGAACAACCTTTTTATTGTGAGTAAAGTCTAGAAGTTTTTTATATAAAACACTCTATCTAGAAGTAATTTAGCAGAGGAAACAACATCCATACCCTATCCAGCTTCTGACAGCTGCTCAAATCCTGTCCTAAATATTCAGACTGCTTCTTCAACTCTGACCAAGGTTCTAAATTGGCTTTGTGTTTTCCTGGGCCTCCTATCCTGGAACTCTGATTATAAATGGACTTTTGCACTCTTTGTAAAATATATTTTCAGCCCAGCTCCCTGAGTGCATATGAATTGCTGGAAGAGGTTTTAATTCACTGAAATGTTTGCTTCAACTCTACTAAGCCCTCTAGCTTAGATATAGCCTAAACTATGGGATTACCTCATAGGTTCTTCTACAGTTCATTCAGCCAATAAAGAAATATGTTCATGTATTTTCCATCTTATATATAGGACCTAAGCTCTTAAAATGTAAACTAAAACATGGCTCAAGCTTTCTTAGGTCTATAAATACACTGCTAAAGGATTCTTTTAAAGTTTTTACTTCAAATATACTACATAAGGAACATAATTCTTATGTATGTCTTTTACAGTTGTGCTGGTGATGTTATATATAGATCTTTCTCTCTCAGGATTTCAACTAAATAGTCAAAATGCTATAATTTCATAAATGCTCTGCTTTTTCTCTTACATTAAAAGAGGCTTATAATCTTGTTAGATAATTTATTGGTTCATATAATCTGTCTCTCACAAACATAACACATGGGCACACCCACCCATTCTTACACATAGAGTGAAAAAGGATTTGGGCATCTGAGCATAAGTGAGTAATTGATGCATATTTCTAGATGCTTAATAGCATATCCAGATAAATTCTTTACCACCATTTCTCATTGGGAGTCCAACCTCCTAGATGTCTGTATTTTTTTCTCCTGCTCTCAGTTTTAATCTCTCCTGCCTCTTGGATAGCAGTGAGAAAAATGAGAGTGCATCAGGTAACACTGTCTCCTTGGATGGCTGAATTGCAATTCCCGTGTGCTTTAATCTCAGCAAAATCATTCTCCTCTGTGTAGCAATTAAGGTGAGAAAAATAATTCCAATGGGTGCCACAATATACCAATAACAGCCTTTTCTTCATCCTAACTGATATGTTTGTGTGCACATGTGCACATGTATATAGTGTGGAGCTGGGGAGAATATATACTGTATGAGTAGGGAAGGCGGAAGTACCTGCTAACTAATATTTTTTCCTTGAAGGAATGTGGCCCACAATATAGAAATGATTCTCTCCGTGATTTAAATCAGTAGCCCAATCTTTACGTTTATGCAAACCACTACATCAAGATCAAAATGTTTTGAAAACCAACACTAAACTAGGGGCAAGCAATATGGTATTTTTGAAAACTGGGGTGTATATAATTCAATTAGAAATTATTATTTTTTTAAAAAAATGGGCCAAATCTTACGTACGGTATGTTGGCCTGTAGATAGAAAGTCAATATGACACCTGCACCAGAAACTATTTGTGTTATTCTTGTGAACCCTGCTGAAATTTGATTCAAAACAGCTGTGGTGGCGCAGTGGTTACAATGCAGTATTGCAGGCTGACTCTGCTCACTGCCAGGAATTCGATCCTGACCGGCTCAAGCTTGATTCAATCTTCCATCCTTCCAAAGTCAGTAAAATGAGGATCCAGATTGGTGGGGGCAATATGATGACTCTGTAAACTGCTTAGAGAAGGTGGTAAAGCACTGTGAGTATAAGTCAAAGTGCTAAGTGCTATTACTACAGCAACTGCATGAGCCTTTCAAAAGACACAATGCTTAAAACTCTGCTTTATTGATCCAAGGAAAGAGGCATTGTTCACATATGTTCTCTTCTGAATACTCTGCATAGCTCTCATATATATTACCTAAATGCAGCATTATGGCAAATGTAATGCTATGTTAGCTCCTATAGAATAAATGAGTTCTGCACAGGATTTGATTTGATTATTACTGGCACAATGGCACTATCTTTGACAGTGTCTGGTCACCAGCATAACAGCAAAAAAGGTAAGCAGTGTCTGATCACCAAAATTGTGAGGAAGAAGCAATGTGTTCTACTCCTGCAGTTTTGCTGACTAAACTTCATTTTGTTGTATAGTAGATCAAATTTGGCTATGATTTATAGAAATTGTAACAGCAAATAAGATCAGCAATTGCTTAAGTTCTATTACATATTTGTTATATTTTGGGCATGACTCTTGATAAGAGTTAAATTATATATAATCATTTTATCCTGGCTCATATATTAAAAGTAGCATAATACGGGATACAAAAAATAATATTTAGTATGGTGGAGGATACAGCTAGACCAAGTGTCATATATTTCATTGGTTAACTGCTGAAGTTGATAGTGCAGGAATAAGTATGTCAACTCTACAATGAACCTGGCTGCAGCGATTTTTGCTCATTCTAGGTTGCCACAAGAATGGGAGGTGGTGTGGAGGATTTCTACTAGGCTAAACATTTTACTGTCCCATGGGAATCAAGGTCATTTCTGTCAGTTAGATGGGGGCGTAAGCATTTGGTTAGAAAACCTGCCAAACACTTCTATTGGGGAATGTAGCTGATTGCATAGCATTGGAGTGGGAAGTTACCTTTGTAATATTGTTTCTCTTTGAAGGGAAATTCAGACTTGGTTTCACGTTTGACTGTGCCGATACTATGTAATCAATAAACATAGTCTTTGAGGAAATCTCAAGCCTTGGAATTCTGATTTATTTGGTCTTGTCTATCAGAACCTTGACAAAGTGATTTTCAGGCCAAACAGAGGCATTATTTAAGCAAATGGCTACCAATCTTGAGGACAAGAAGACAACAAACAAATTTCAATTCACTCAAAAATTCTGGAGAAAAAAAATTGGATCTAAAACCCAGAGCAGGCATTTATATATTAGGCCTAATTTCTGTGCTCTATAGAAACTGATCTTATACATAGGTAGGATTTCTATCTCACCCTCAATAAAGCAAAAAAAATAAAAAAAAATAAAGCAAAATATCCAGCTGCATCATATCTAAGAGTTTCTTCGTTGTGAAAATCCCTGAATACAACTGGAAAAGTGAGTTTTACTGCTAAGCAGAGAGTGAAATCTGGTCTAAGATGAAACAGAACTGGCAGGAAATGAAACAGGAAGAACAGAAAAGGCAGCAATATAGTTAATTAGATAGTATTTTTCACTTTTTGTTCTTTTTACTCATCTCTGCTAAAAAAAGAGGTAATAAAGAATACTTACACTGGGATGTGTTCAAAGGCATCTTCAAAGTTTTCCTGCAAATCAAATAAGAATAAATAATTAGAAAATTCATTATCTTCCTATAAAAATCCATAAGGTTTACTAAATAAATAAATACTAAATAATATAGCTATGTACTGCTATTTGATACTTGCTTTCTAACAGAATTTCTATGCTATGAAAAAAATGTAAGCAGTAACAGAGAACACTAAAGGGTTACAAGTAAAATATCCATATCCCTGAATCATCACTTCCCTAAACTGATATAAATAAAATAATTTCATTGATCTTAGAAGCACTCGATAGAGTAAGCATTTTCTTGTGGTGGACATAAGTTTTCCTTCTTGGTTAGGGAAAGGTAGATTATATTTTTGTCAAATAAAAAAATCAATTCAAACACCAGAAAAATCAAAATATGTAATGAAAACTGAGAAACAGAACAGTGAAGGTTGTACAAATGAGAAGCAAAGTTTGAGAACTAGTGAAGTGAATATTTTTTTTGTTTGGAGAAATCATTTTCAGTGCAGTCTTTTTCAGAATACAGGATTGCAAATGAAGGCAGTTATCGTTCTGTAAATTAATCATCCTCTCAAATGTTATGCTTATACAGTTTAAGATGCTCAAAACTTCTAAAAGGCTTCAAAACCTAAAAGGCCTCAAAACTTTTAAAAGCCTTCACCATTAATAAATTATAGGGGACAACTAAACTCCCTTTCTCTGAAACAGATCCAGGAAAAATGGAAATGGCAAGGTACAGTATGAGAAAATTTTAAAAAAGTATACTAATCAATTAAAGTTTGATGTACTAGTATTCAATGCACTTAAAAACCAAATTCTCACATCGAATTTGTGAATTCAGTTGAGTCTCCTATTGACATAATTCTGCAATATACACTTAATATGTTTTACAAAATTTATACTTTTACATCCTTATAAAATCAAATCCCCAAAATAAATAATATCAAGCAACTAAATATATTTGGCTGCTGCGACATTTTAAATCTTTGAGAAATACTATTTTCTTAGTAGCCAGAAATTTGGTGGGAAAAAGCTTGTAATAAATATGAAAAGATTTTTATAAATACATTTAGTTCTTAAATGGAAAGTAACTCAATAAAGTTACTTTCTACATTGTGAAAAAATACAAAGGTCACAAAACTAATCTGAAATTAGCTTCCTTTTGCATTTAAAAGCAAAATACAATAATGTATTGCCATATTACCTACACTTTTTCATCTCTTATGAACTTCGATGCAGTAAAAAAAGAAAACATTGACCAACATTTGTCAAAAACATTTGACCAATAAGACAATTATTACAGATATTGTTCCTCAATCTACCGATGACTAGAGACAGCATTACAATAAGGTAGCAATGAAATGTTATGTAAAGCAGACACCAGCAATGTACTACTTTTATCTAACTGACCTTTTATGCTAAATAAGAGAATAATAATCTTTTAAGTGAATATTTTTAGAATTATGGTTAATATTTATGACATAACTTTCTAAACATCAGATGAGAAATCATTGGGCCACAAGAAATTGATATAAATTGCTGACAAATCAGGCAAATCAAGCACATAATAAAATGCCTTCTGCCGTGGTTTAAATTAGATGTGCCCATATAAATATTTACTATTTCAACACTGAGCTTTGCCCAGAATCTTTCTGATAGGTTTACAAGAACGATAACAGAAGATAAGTGGCAGTTTAAAGATTAAATTCAGTTATTGTGACATACAATATTGAACTGTAATATTATGTAGAAGTAAAAAAGTTGAGGCCATGTGTTATTGTTTTATTCTACCATGTGAAAAATTGTCCAAAGTCAATGCTTTTCCTTCTTTCCCCCTTTTTTCCCTACATTTTCCTCTCTTCCCTTTTCCCTCCTCTACATTCCCATTGTTTTTATTTTCCTCTGAATTTTATATTCAAATAAAAAATTAACAAAAAAAAGTGTAATGGTATGTGGGAATGATCTTGGAGACCAGGGAGGGTATGCAGCTTAGGGAATAGTCAGATAAGGGACATAGCATTGCAGCTATATAATGGGCAGACCAAGAGGCCCAGGAGGGACCCTCCCTAAGGTATTAGGCTGTAAAGGTGACAGCGGGAGAACTGTACTTTCAGGCTTGCAAGATCCATGTAGTTTTTCAATAAAGCAGAATTAGCTTATCAGGCCATGTTGCCCATCTGGTTTTCCTAGTAAGGTTGACAGAAAGGTATTGGAAAGCAAGGCCAGTGGGATTATTTTTCCTTGGAAATAGAAGTTCCAGCTTTATATATACACTCACACACCAGTTAATATTACATGGCACTCCAGTTGAGGCTTAGGTTTTGTCCATTCTGAGTCATTTCAGCATCCTTCTTATTCAAAAGTCAGATAAGCAATCTAGAACAGTCCAGCTCATTGAATGCCTGATGATTCATTTCTTTCATATCAGTCCAAACCAGACTATTTAACTAATTTCTAATAATATATTACTAGCTAGTAATATGCAGAATGGGATGGGGAAAATGTGTCAAGTCTGAATTCTAAACTTTCTGAAAAATTTTTGGAATATTCTGCTCCTCCTCCAAATCATGTTATTCAAGGGGAAGTTCATAATGTTCTGGAGTCAGTTCATCACAGTCTTGTGGGTGAACAGAACATCCTGTAATTCACTGAACTATTTCATTCTTGACTCAACTAATTTTCCACAACCCTGATATAAAAGTTGTTTTGCTTTCATTGCAAGGGTATTTCACTGAGTTGGTTCATTAAATCACGTGTGTCTTATTTAGGCTTGTATGAAAACCTGAAAAAATTAGTATATTTAATGAGTGCCAGGGAGTGTTGCATTTGTACAAATTCTGAAGTATTTCAAATATTTTTAAAGTTTACTTAAAATGGAAGAACTAATGCAAGCGACCATTCCTACAGGAGCCTCTGGATGTATGTATAGGTATGTGCCCACTCACCCACCCACATGTATCTACATATACAGACTTAGAAGCTAAAAATGACCCCCATGACTGTGGTTCCTATATATTATGCCAGGCTGAAATAGTCTACATATTTGTATTTAAAATATGGGAAATATTTATACCAACACAAGACTTTCTAAATATATGCTACATTTCAACAAAAAGTTCAATGTGGCTTGCATCAAAACATTGGGAATGCCATCGTTGAATTCAGCTTAATTTGGCAAATATTATCCATCATTCAGTTCTTGAAATGTATTGGGAGAATAGCAATGTAACAACTTATTTATATGGTCTTATCACTACTGCCCCATCTTGGCAGTAGCAGGAACAGCCACCCAGTTCAGAAGGTGTATCAGCACCTCTTTGGATTATCTCAAGCTGTGAATGTCCAACATGATTATTCACTTAGGTAGGAAGTACTGATCAGTGATATAGTTCCATATGCTTGTCAAACAAAGCCTGAAAAGTTGCATGAAGTATAATCCTCTAGTCAACTAGTAGAGCTCCTTCTACGATTTGCTTAGCAGCAGTAGTATAACTTTATTGATTAGTCAATTGACCACATAAAAACAATGGACGTCAGCCAGAATAAGGTACAATAAAATGAAACACTAATATTCAGTAAAATAGGATAAAGGTAAGGTAAAATAAATATAAAAGAGTGACATAAAGTAATGCAAGATAAAGTTGAATTTAAAGACATGAGTATTAAAGTATGTCTTCAGTACAAAACTAGGAAATCTTCAGCCTTATTGGATTTCAGTGACTGAATAATGCATTTAATTTCTGTCACTGACACTTGTGGCCAAGGAGAGAGGTTATCAGTGGTCGGAAATTCAATACCCATTTTTGCTGACTGATACAACTTGGAGTTGGCAAATAAATTAATATAAACATATAAATATAAACATCCTCCAAAACTGAAGCTGAGATGGCGATATCAAGGAGAAGCTTATGCTCCTTCAACATACTGGATACGATGTTCCAAAATACGACTGGGGATGTTTTACATTTATCTCTAGAACTATCTTTTCTAATTGTACCCTGATGTTGGGGGAAAAGGATCAACATTAGCAAATGGTTGTTTCATTCTATGTCAGTGGCTGGACAGGCTGTCTTAGTCCTGTGTGGTGGTCTTCCTCCTAACCCAGAAGCTACCTTTGACAAAATTCCCTCTAGTTCCTGGAGCTCAGGTATGCCTGGAGAGCTGGAAAGCATGCCAGTTATTAGATGCGTTTAGCTGCAATTCTCCATCTTATATTCCTGCCACCCAGCTCTCATTGTAGTTCCCAGGGTTTTAGGCAGTCAAAACCTTCCTCTTTTCTATCAATAGAATTTCACTTTTTGTTTTTTGAAGTTTGGAGCGTGGTACTGTTTTAATGGGCTAGGGTAGAGAGGTTTAGATCTCCTCCAGGGGACTTTGTGTTCTGCATGTTTGTTTCATAAGATAGGAGAAGGAGCAGAGATGCCAGTGACTTCTTTCTCAAAGTAATTACAAGTCCCTTGGGTAGTTGGTAAATCAAAATCAATTAATGGTTTGGCTGTTTTGTGTTTTGCTACCAAAATCTGACAGGGCACTGAAAGAGTTAATCGGGTTTTCTTCCAGGAGAGCAAATATGCACTGTCTTGCTGTAGATAGCACAGATTGTTTACCTGGGCAGCCCTCTCTCAGAGGAAGGATTGGAAAGATGTCCTTGAGGTTATCTAAAATTGTGTTGTCACATTTGCTTTTTAAATTGACAGTATTCCCTGGGCCAGAATGGATTAGGAGTTCCTCTGAATGAAACACACATTTTGGAAAACTGAAAAAATGTGCAGAAAGGGCCTCACTTTATCCAGCCTTCTAGAGATTGTAGATTGCCTGAATGTTAAATAAAATTCACTCACAGCCTCTGCTGGATGGGAGCCATTCAGTCTTTTGTAAATCAATCAGCTGCTTTTTGCAGCGTAGCATCTGGCTTAAGGATAAGATAATTACTTTTTTTTTATCCCCGTCTATTTGCTCTGCATTTTATATGTGTAGGGTGTAAGTAATATTTGTGATTTATATGCATCTCTCCCTT